AGTTGTGTCCTTTCACCATAGTTATTCAATTTGTATGCTGAGCAAATAATCCAAGAAGCTGGACTATACGAAGAATGCGGCATCAGGATTGGAGGAAGACTCATTAACAACCTGCGATATGCAGATGACACAAGCGTGCTTGCTGAAAGTGAAGATGACTTGAAGCTCTTACTGATGAAGATTAAAGACTACAATTTGCAGTATGAATTACACTTCAACATAAAGAAAATGAAAATCCTCACAACTGGACCAATAAATAGCATCACAGTAAACAGTGAAAAGATTGAAGATGTCATCGTGGATCCATTTTACTTGGATCCATAATCAACACCAATGGAAGCAGCAGTCAAGAAATCAGACCACATACTGCACTGAGCAAATCTGCAAAAGACCTCTTGAAAGTGTTAAAAAGCAAAGATGTCCCTTTGAGGACCAAGATGCACCTAACCCAGGCCATGGTGTTTTCATTCGCCTCATTTGCATGTGAAAGCTGGACAGTGCATAAGGAAGATGACGAAGAATTGATATCTTTGAATTGTGGTGTTGGTGAAGAATATTGAATACAAACAGTCTCAGCGTTCCTAACATCCAACTTAAGGAGAAGTCATGCTTGCCCTTATATTATGTAAGTTTGTCCTCACTTTGAAACCATTGAACCAACCCCTCCTACCAACATCCAGTCAATCCGGACTCCTAGCAACTCTAGAGGGCAGAGTAGAACTGCCCCATAGGGTTTCTAAGGCTGTAAATCTTCACGGAAGCAGACGGTCTCAGCTGCTTCCATGGAGCAGCTGGTGGGTTCCAACTGCTGACCTTTTGGTTAGCAGCAGAAGGCCTTAGCCACTGCACCATCAGAGCTCCTTGACCAAGCCCTACTTTCAACAAATTCTTTGTCACGCTCACGTTCACTTGCTGCACATACAGCTTTTAAGTCATTGAGAAGGCTTTGAGCCCTTTCTTGCTCTAAAATATGGCTAAGTGAGAACTGTATGCACCTATTCCGATTGGTTTACAAATTCTTAAAGACAGTTAGGAATGGATCTCATTTGTAACCCGGGGACTGCCTGTCTACCATGGACTTGTCTACCATGGACCACCAAAAGAACGAACAAATCTGTCTTGAAAGAAGTACATCCAGAATGCTCCTTAGAAGTGAGGATGGGAGACTTGGTCCCGTGTACTTTTTTTTTTTTTTTTTTCTGCTGCAAAAGACCTCTTTATTTTATTTTTTATTAATTTTTGTAATTTTTGTTGTGATTTGGGTGAAAGTTTACAGAGCAAATTCGTTTTCCATACAGTTCATACACATTTTGTCTCATGACATTGACTGCGATTCCCCACAATGTAACAGCTCTCTTCCCACTTCCTCCCCGTAGTTACCTTTTTCCTGTGTCCTTCCCTCCCATGCACTCCCCACCCCCAACTATCTCCCTGTGCAAACACTGCCCTTCTGTTCTCCCATGATTGATCACTTCAAGGAGTGTATCTCCCTGACGTCAGTGTTCACCCTATATGGTCCCATGTACTTTGGACATGTTATCAGGAGGGACCAGTCCCTGGAGAAGGACATCATGCTTTGTAAAGTAGAGGGTCAGTGAAAAAGAGAAGGACTGTCAATGAGATGGACTGACACCGTGGACCCAAACATAGCAATGGTTGTGAGGATGACCCAGGTCTGGGCAGTGTTTCGTTCTGCTGTACGTAGGGTCACTGTGAGTCAGAACTGACTCCTTGGCACCTAACAACAATGGTCCATAGAGTTTTTGCAAAAAGGAAAAGAGTTAGTACATGTAAACTGTGTAAAATAGTAATAGCACCCTGAATATAGTCATGTGTTCAGAAACATGTTAATTAGTATTCACTCACTGACGTCATAGTGACCCCTCCTTGGATTCCCAAGGCGGTATCTCCACGGAAGTAGATTGCCCATCTTGCTTCCGAGGAGTGGCTGGTGGGTTTGAACTGCCAGCCTTCTGGTTAGGAGTCAAATGCTTTGGGCACTACCCCAAAGCTCCCTTAATTAGTATTAGGACTAATTATTAGTTAAGAAGCCCTGGTGGCACAACGGTTAAGCACTCTTGTGCTAAGTGAAAGGTTAGCAGTTCAAACCCATCCAATCTGTTTCCATGAAGATTACAGCCAAGAATACCTTATGAGGCAATTCTACCCTGTTACACGGGGTCAACAGGAGTCTGAATTGACTCAACAGTACCAACAACAATAGCCAGTTGGCGCAATTCAGATATGTCCTGAGTGGTCCTTCAGCATCCAGGTTGTTGAATACCATAGCTATTTCCCCAGGTTCATGGTCCTCACCCCACCACCCAGGCACTCCCAAGGCTTCACAAACTTTTTCAGCATCCCCCATGCCACTCTTGTACTCCTAAACCCAGCTGGGAGAGGGCAGAAGGGAGCAAGCTTAGGAAGGTGGCCTGGGGTTGCCATGGCAGTTCCTGGGGTGCCTGTTTGGGGAGAGTCATACCCTGCGTATGCCATATTGGCGTTAGAGGCAAGTAAGCAGGGGCAAGGATGGAGGATGAGGGGGTACTGAGAATGTTCTGCTGGAAGGAGGAAGGCCAGGGACCATGGGATGTGCAAGAAGGAATGGATTGGAAGCTGGCTCCCAGGGTTGTGGAGTGAGTCCTGGACTCGAATTCAAATCCTGCCTCTGTTCCATGTTACTTGCATGGGACTCCTTCAGTCAGTTTCATCATCTGTGAAATGGGAGATTGCCCCACGTCTACCTCTACTGCCCATCACCACCGGGCCCTAGGGTGGAGCCCAAGTCCGCCTCTGGCAGCTTGGGAGCTGTCACCATCCTCATCCTTTCTCCCTCCTCAGTGGGCTGTGACCAGGACCCCCTGGACCCTGTCTACCTGCCAGCAGCTTTGGAACTCCTGGATGGCCCTGAGCACTTCCGCGTGCAACAGGTGGGCCGCTACCCGCCAGCCAACTCTTCTCTGGGCTCCCGATCCGAGACCTTTCTGCTCCTGCAGCCCTGGCCCAGGGCCCAGCCGCTCCTCCGGGCCTCCTACCCACCCTTTGCCACTCAGCAGGTAAGGACGGGGCACAGGGACTCCCAGGCTAACGGACTCAGAGCCTGAAGTCTGCTGTGTGTGGCTCAGGGGTCTTCCCCGGTGTCCACCCACTGGGCTCCCTGCTTAGCAGTGGTTGTGATGGGGGACACTGAGGCCTGTAAAGGCTGTCTCCTGAGAGACTGGAAGCCTGGCATCCTTCTCCCGTTCTCCCTCCAGGTGGTCCCTCCCAGGGTCACTGAGCCCCAGCAGCAGCCGGTACCATGGGACGTGCGGGCTGTGTCTATAGAAGCAGCCGTGACTCCTGCGGAGCCCCATGCCCGTGTCCTCTTCCATCTCAAAGGGCAGGATTGGCCACCGGGGCCCGGCGGCCTTCCCTGTGCCCGGCTCCACGCCACGCACCCTGCAGGCACTGTTCAGCGAGCCTGCCGCTTCCAGGTGAGTGGGTGGGCCCACGTCAGCTGGCCTTTACAGTGGTCCCAGGGTGGGGAGCAAGGAGCTCAGCCTTCCCAGGGAGTTTCTGCTCCAAGAGCTTTCCCAGGGGCCTGTGAAAGGTCATTTTAGAGGGTTTAGTCCCACTGTGTGTGAACCTCAGTTTTCTCATCTGTCAAATGGCGTAATAACAATTCCAACCTCATCTGGGGTAGGAGTGACGCAAGAATAGCTCTTAGCATGACGCCTGGCCCAGCATAATCACTCAGCAGACATGTGCATTGCTGTCACTGTTACTTTTATGGTTGCTGGCTGCACTGTTGGGGTCTAGTACAGGAATCCATTGGAGAGAGGTATTCTGTGGGCTATGAGGTTCTGAGGGCATCCCTGGGGGTTGCAGATGGTTAAGTGCTGGACTACTAACCGAAAGCTTAGCAGTATAAGCCCTCGCAGAGGCGCCGCAGAAAACAGGCCTGGAGATCCCCTTCTGAAAGGCCTAGAACACTGTGTGGAGAGTTCTGTCCTACACACACAAGGTCTCCATGAATAGGAGTCGACTTGAGGGCAGTGGGTTTGGGATGCTGACAAGAAGCTGAGTTTGTCAGGGCAGTCCTGGGCATAGTTCAGGTGAGGCTCTTGGAATGAGACCATGTCCCAAGGCAGAAGAATGTCCTGCAGCTGTGTCCCATGTCACGAGCCACGCACTGTCACCTGTGACGCATCTCTGGCCCACGCTAGCCCTGTCTTCATGGGCCCTTCCAGCTCTGGTTCCCTGCCACAGGTGCTGGGTATCCCCTCCTACCCGACCCCGGTCCCCCGTGCCAAGCAGGACTGTCATGTCTCCACAGCCGTCCCTGGGCGCCTGCGTGGTGGAGCTGGAGTTCCCCTCACACTGGTTCTCCCAGGCCTCCGCCACGCGGGCCGAGCTGGCCTACACACTGGAGCCCATAGCCGAGGGCCCTGGCGGCTGCAGCCCCAGCGGCGGGGAGGACCCTGGGAAGCAGGCCCTCCCAGTGGGCAGCGTGGAGCTGCGGTCAGCAGACCCCCCGCAGTACCAGGAGGTGCCCCTGGATGAAGCTGTGACTCTGAGAGTGCCCGACATGCCCGTGCGGCCCGGCCAGATCTTCAGTGCTACCCTCCTTCTTCGGCACAACTTCACAGCCAGCCTCCTGACTCTGCGGTGAGCACCGGACCTGGGGGCAGGGTGTGGGGCTGGGAACCTCTCCAGGAAAACTGGGCTGGTCCCTGCTCCTCTTGGGATCTTTGCTGGAACCCTGAACTCCTGCAAAACACCTGTGCACCAAATCCCTCCACATAAAGAGAGCCATGGCTGCTGTGGCAGCAGACACAACTGGTGAAGGGCACAGCCTTGAACTTGGAGTTAAAAGTAGGGAGGGCCTCCTCTCCCTGGTACCTCTCTGAGATACCTTTGTGTGTGTGTGTGTGTGTGTGTGTGTGAAAATATATATAGTAGAACATACACAGTCATCAGTTTCTCCATGTACCATTCCATCACATTGGTTACATTCTTCATGATTGTGTCACCATTCTGTTTCTATTCATATCTCTCTACCCATTGTCTTAGATTTAAACCAAAGTCAGACTCACTGCCATTGAGTTGATTCTGACTCATAGCTATGTCTTTACGGAAGCAGACTGCCTCTCTTTCTTCTGTAAGGTGGCTGGTGGGTTGGAACCCCTAACCTTTTGTTTAGCAGCCAAATGCCTTAACCACTACACCACCTGAGCTCCTTTGTCTTAGATTCGCTACCCCCTAAACTTGTCATCTCTGCTTTACAGTTACCGTTGACGATTTGATCTCACAGATAATCCTGTACAAGGGCCCAACAGCCAATGGCAGACATGTTTTACTTGTTTAGCTAAACAGGCTTAAGGATGGCTTTAGGGGATAGTTTGGTTTATGGTTTGAAGGTTTTCTCAGAGCAACAGATTCATGGGTTCCTCCAGTCTTAGTCGGTCCAGTAAGTCTGGGTTTTGTAGGAACTTGATCCCTTGATCACAATGTTTAGTAATGGTAGCCAGGTACCACCCAGGTCTTCTGGTCTCCTGGCTAGGAGGAGGTCATGGACGCAGTCAGACCTGCAGTCCAGTTCTTTCTCCGATCCCTGGGTCTTCTTCCCCGGCTGTTCCATGCTAACAGAGAACAATTGTTGTATGTTAGATGGCTGCTCCCAAGCTGTTAAGACCCCTCTCTGAGACACCTTTGTCCAGCAGGGCTAACATTGCCCACTTCACAGGGCAGCTCCAAGGCTCTGAAAAGGGAAGAGAAGGGAAACCTTGGAACCTGGAAAGAGCAGTGCCATGGGGAGGAGGCTTGTGGTGTGATGCCCCAGAGATGGGTACTCGCCCCAGCCACCCTTGCCTGTGGACACACCTTCTCCAGCTCCTTTGCCTGTGGAGATACCTGTTCCTCCCCACAGGAAGGCCCTCCCCTTTGTATCCCTTTCCCCAGAGTAGCCTCCCCACCCAGCCCATTAGCCAGGATTGGCAGAGTGTGACTTGCCTCTCCCATATGTGGTGTCCCCTCCCAGTGTGTCTTGTGGGTGCCCTTTATGCCACCCCATCACTCACTTCCTCCTTCATGCACTTACACATTCATTAACCACATCTTTCCCGGACACTTAAGAGTATCTCCACTCTGAAGGTACCAAGAGGACAGGCTTGGTCCCCATCTGGCACCAAGGAGCTCTAGGGTGGGGAAGGGACCTAGACGGCATGAGCGGGATTGGAAGGCATGTAGGTCTGTGTGCTCTGACAAAGGGCCGTGGAGGCTGGGGGCGCGTATTCCCTCACCACATAAAATCAGGACAAGCTCTCTGAAGGAAATGCCATTGGAGTTGTCAGAGGACTGAAGATGAGCCAGTAAAGAAGAGAAGGGCACGCCCACAGAAGGCTCAGCCTGAGTAAAGGCCTGGAGGCATGGACGGCTGTCCTGTATGGGGAAGAAGGTGGGTGTGGTTGAAACCAAAAGTGCCTGGAGAGGTCATAGTGGAAGATGATGTTGGACCAGACCCTGGTGGGCCTTGAGTGCCAGGCTGAGACTTGACCAGTGGGCAGTGGAGAGTCATAAGTGGTCTTTGACTAGGAGAGGCTATGGCATGACCTGTGTTGAGGTGAGCTCCTTCTGAGAGCAGGCCGAGGAGGGCGAGGAGGAAATTCAGACTAGCGCCTGGGAGGCTAGACATGTGGCTGGAGTCTTTGGTCTCCATCCCTTGTCTTCCCCCTCAGATCCAGTCCATGGCTCGGCACCCACCTTGACACACTGGACTTGTGTCCTGTTCCCCAGGATCAAGGTGAAGAAGGGGCTGCATGTGACGGCCGCCCGCCCAGCCCAGCCCACCCTCTGGACTGCCAAGCTGGATCGATTCAAGAGTTCCAAGCACCATACCAGTCTCATCACCTGCCACCGTGCTGGGTCTCCGGGGCCAGACACCAGGTGGGCAGTCTTCCTTCCTGGGGGTGGGCAGATGGATGGGGCCCAAAGGCAGCTGCCACGATGCCTTCACTTCCCCATGTGAGCAGACGCAGGAACAGACTTTCAAGGCAGCCCCACACGGCAGGTGTATCATTTCATTCATTCATTCAGCCGCTGTACGTGCACCCCCAGCCACGTCTCAGGTACTGTGTGAGTCTGTGAGCCAACCTATCCTGACCACCCAGTCAGAGCCCTCACAGCCACTGGCCTGCCTGCCTCCTTACCACATGGACCTTTTTTTCTGGGCCTTTATAATTCCCCTGAAAAAAGCCCAGCTTGCCCTACAGTTCTCAACAGTCATGAATTCTCCGTCTTCTTTGTTTACAGAGCAAATTCGTTTTCCATACAACAGTTCATACACATTTTGTTTCCTGACATTGACTGTAATTTCCCACACTGTGACAGCTCTCTTCCCACTTCCTCCCCGTAGTTACCTCTTCCCAGTGCGTCCTTCTTTCCTGCCCCCGAGCTATCTCCCTGTGCAAACACTGCCCTCCTGATCTCCCATGGTTGATCGTTCTAAGGAGTAAACTCTTCTTATTCCTGTCCTAAGCCTGGGTCAAGGCCTTGACCTTCGGAGCCCCTGCTGGAATCCTATTCCTGACAGTTTTTGGATGAATAACCTTGGACATTCAGGAAACCTCCTACTCCACACCCTGCCCTGCCCCCACCTGCCCTGCCTCAGTTTCTTCAGTTGTAAAATGGGGGTAATAATACCGCACTCAGGGTTTGTGACAGTAGACGAGATGCTGTATATCAAGCACCTAGATGGTTCCTGGCACATATTTGATCAAAGGGAGCTCTGAGGGCTACTGGACAGAAGGCTGAGTGTTCAGCCCTGGGACTTGGAGTGGAACTCCCTCTTTGAAGGAAGTTGCCATTGTGTGCTTCCTGCCACTCGAATGGCTCTGGAAAGCACCTGTCTGAGTGGAGGGGGCTGAAGAGGGCAAGGGAAGCCAGCAAAGACTGGAAGGTGGCTTAATGGCCACACGGATCTCGGAGAGCTCCAGGAACAGATAAGAGCCTGGGCTCTGGAACTGGGATGTTTGGGTTCAGATCCCAGCCCTGCCGCTTACTTGCTATGGAACCTTGGATGAGTGAGAAAACCCCTGTACCTGTTTCCTCATCTGTAAGGTGGGGATAATCATAGTGCCTAACTCGGGAACACATGAGCGCTCAGGACAGTGCCTGGTAGCTCATAAACACGCATTCCTCTCTCTTCTGTCTGCAGTGCCCTTGAACTGTCTGAGTTCCTGTGGGTGGACTTTGCGGTGGAGAACGGCACCGGCGGGGGTGTGGCAGTCACTCGCCCTGTCACGTGGCAGCTGGAGTACCCCGGCCAGGCCCCCGAAGCAGAGAAGGACAAAATGGTGTGGGAGATCCTGGTGTCAGAGCGGGACATAAGAGCCCTCGTTCCACTGGCCAAGGCAAGTAGCCCCCACCTCTGCCTGGCCGGGTGGGGGCCAAGTCCCAGGGGCCCCACCAGCTGAGGGGCTTGGGACTGAGCTCTTCCTGCACCCCCAGGCAGAGGAGTTGGTGAATACGGCACCACTGACCGGAGTGCCCCAACATGTCCCTGTGCGCCTTGTCACCGTAGACAGTGGGGGGGCCCTGGTGGAGGTGACGGAGCACATTGGCTGTGAGTCGGCCAACACACAGGTCCTGCAGGTGAGTGGCATGTTCTAGCCCCATATGAGTATGCATTTGTGCGTGTGCTGTGATGCACCCCACTTTGTGTCCTTCCCTGCTTGGGTCCCCATGAGAACTGCTTCTCCTTGAGACCAGAAACCTCATAGGGGAACCCCAGTTCACCTTTTGTTCCTGCCAGAGTCAGGTGGTAGCCCAGTAACCCCAAGAGCCCCCAGCTAAGGCACTTTCACGTTCATCATTGCATTGGCAGAGTCCCTGGATGGCACACAGTGTTAAGCACTCAACTACTAGCCAAAAGGTTGGTGGTCTGAACCCACACAGTAGTGCCTCAGAAGGTAGGCCTGGTGAAGTGCATCCAAAGCGTCACAGCCAACCCTTGGAGCAGTTCTGTACACGTAGGGTCATTGAGTCACCTCGCCTTGACGTTCCCCCAACAACAACAAACTGCGTTGGCAGATAAGCTGATGCGGGAGAGTTAAGGGCAGGTACTTTAGGACCAGAAGGTTTTAGTTTGAAACTCAGCTTTGTCATCTACCGGCTCTTGGGCAGGTCTCACCTTTGAGCCTCGGTTTCCTACACTATAATATGGGTATGTTTTATGATTATTGTGAAAATTACAAAGTGCCTAGGACAGTACCTGCCAGAATGTTCTTTAGAAGCGAGAATGGCCAGACTTTGTCTCACCTACTTTGGTCATGTTGTCAGAAGGGACCAGTCCCTGGGGAAGGGTATCATGGATGCTAAAGCAGAGGGTCAGTGAAAAAGGGGAAGACCCTTTAATGAGATGGACTGACACGGTGGCTGCAACGGTGGGCTCCTGCACAGCGGGGCCTGTGAGGCTGGCGCAGGACGGGGCGGTGTTTGGTTCACTCGTACATAGGGTCTCTGGGAGCTGGAACCAACTCGACAGCAGCTAACAACAGTAAGAGGACAGGAGCCAGCAGCAACAGTGCTAGCTACTGCTGTCGGCATAATAATGTAGAAATAATAATAGTAATTCTCTAATTCTAACTGCCAATGGGTCAATCCGACTCATAGCGACCCCTCCTTGGGTTTCCGAGGCAGTATCTCTACAGAAGCAGATTGCCCAACCTTCCTTCCGAGGAGTGGCTAGCAAGCATAGCAAGGATTTGGTTTGAACCGCCAGCCTTCTGGTTAGCAGTCAGATGCCTTAGGCACTATGCTACCGGAGCTCCTAATAATAGTAATATAAAATGGTTAAATTATTATCACTGCGGTTGCGAGCCTCACAATGACCCATGAGGTACAAAAGGGCAGGACAGCTCTCTACATTTTGAAGTTCTAAATGGAACGTAGGGAGCCTGTTTCACACGAATCCTGGCCACCCTACTGGAGAAGGTGTTTTTCCCCCCCTGTGGTGGCACTTTGCCTACAGGCATGGGGCTCCTACCTGTTCCCACCTGAGGGCCCTTGCTTGCCTGCATCTCCATAGCTGGTTGTCCCCTGGCTCTAACCCCAATGGCAGAGGCCAGCCTAACAAGGAGCCCGATTCATACCCCTCCTCTGCCAGGAGGAAGACGATTGCATGTTTCCCCATGTGAGCCCCAGGGAAACACACAGAAGGGCCTGGTTCCTCCAGGGGCTGTGGGTCTTGGACACAAAGTGAAATCTTTAAAGATAGTGGTTTAACCCACAAACCACCACCATGACACACGGAGCTGGCTTCCAGCTATACCCTGTCTTAGCATCAGGGCCGCCCTCTCTGGCCTACACCTGTCAGCTTGCTCAGTCCATCCCCCCATCCTCCGCCTTCCCACAGGTGTCTGAGACCTGTGACACCGTGTTTGTGGCCGGCAAGGAGAGCCGCGGTGCTCGGGGAGTTCGGGTGGACTTCTGGTGGCGCCGGCTGCGTGCCTCACTGAGGCTGACGGTGTGGGCCCCACTGCTGCCCCTGCGCATCGAGCTGACTGACACCACCCTGGAGCAGGTCCGAGGCTGGAGAGTCCCCGGCCCAAGTGACGGGTAAGTGAGGCCTGGGAAGGTGGCAGGCCGAGGGCACACAGCCAGGGGCCCCAGCTTGGGTCTTCCTGCCCTTCCCTGCCCCTCACCACCCAGCTTTGACCACATTGTTTGAAACTGCCAGCCTTCAAACTCCCTGGCCCCCTTCCCTGCCTCTTCTCTGTCTACGGTAGTTCTGTTGGTGTTCTGCGTACCCTTCCCTTCCCCCTGAGACTGTGAACTCCACGAAGGCAGGGCTTTTGGTGGTTTTTATTTTCTATTCCGTTCACTGACTTGCACTCGACTACTGACCTAAAGTTGCCAGTTCCAACCCATGCAGCCGTGCAGCAGAAGAACGGCCTGGCAATTTTATTACAAAGATTACAACCAAGAAAACCCCAGGGAGCAGTTCTACTCTGTACTACGTGGGTCGCCACAAATCCAAACTGACTGGACAGTTTTGGTTTTGGTCATTTTATTCACTGCTGTATCCTCAAAGCCTAAGGTGGTACCCCACTCAGTACATGTTGGATAAACCCTGAAGGCTCTTCCACCAGAATCCCAGGCTCAGAAGGCCCCAGGTCTTTGGAAAGGAAGCCCGTGGCTTCCTTCTCAATGACAATGATTCAGTTAGGAGTCAGCGGCTTGATAGCAAAGCCCAAGAACCAATTAGAGGCGGGGCTGAAGATTCAGAGCCTCCAGGTGGAAGGTGCCATGACTCCACAGGTGCACCTGTTGCTGGAATTTGATGAACTAGAAGCTCTGGTAGCATAGTGCCTAAGGCACTTGACTGCTAACCAGAAGCCTGGCGGTTCAAACCCACCAGCCACTCCTCTGAAAGAAGGTTGGGCAATCTACTTCCGTAGTGATACTGCCTGGGAAACCCAAGGAGGGGTCACTATTAGTCGGGCGGACTTCAAGGCACATAACAAGAGCCCAGAGCCTTTTGATGGGCAGGGGCACGCACCGTGAGGAGCCTGGCATCTCCAGAGGGCGGAGTCCTCGGCCGGTCATGGAGAGGGGGCGGGGCCCGGGCTTACCCCGCCCCCGCTGCCCCTCCCGCAGGGCGGCGGAGCCGGAGGCTGCGGCAGGAGGGGAGGAGGCGGAGCGGCGCGCCCGCGGCTGCCGCCTGCAGTACCAGCGCGCCGGCGTGCGCTTCCTCGCCCCTTTCGCGGCCCATCCACTGGACGGCGGCCGCCGCCTCACCCACCTGCTCGGCCCCGACTGGCTGTTGGACGTGTCCCACCTTGTGGCGCCGCACGCCCGCGTGCAGGACCCACGCATAGCCTCTCTGGAGGGCGGTCGTGTCCTGGTGGGCAGGGAGCCCGGCGTCACCTCCATCGAGGTGAGTGGAGCCGTGGCGCTGGAGGGGAGCTCCACTGAGAAGGATGTAGGTGGCTCCCAGAATGCGTGGGAAGTGGGAAGCCTGTAGGGGGTCCCAGAGTGTACCTGGAGAGGTGTGTAGTCTAGGTCTGCATAGAAAGAATTGAGGGGGTTGACTGAGGAGAGGGTGGTCTACGTGATGGGGAACTAGGTATGACCGCAGGGTGAAGGCACGTGGGGTCCGAATCTTGAGAAACGAGGGACCTGTCCCCTAGGTGTGGGACTGCCATCCACGTATGCAGAGCTCACATAGTTGGTGTGTGAAGTGTGGGGGTCTCATGCAGGGATCAGGGTCTGAGGTCTCACAGAGGAGAAGGGCTGTCAGCACACAAGTCCCTGCACCTCTCTTCCACCCTCAGGTGAGTTCCCCGCTGTCTGACTCCATCCTGGGGGAGCAGGCCCTGGCTGTGACGGATGACAAGGTCTCGGTGCTGGAGCTGCGGGTGCAGCCGGTGATGGGCATATCGCTGGCCCTGAGCCGGGGCACTAACCACCCTGGGGAGGTCACAGCCACGTGCTGGGCACAGTCAGCCCTCCCCGCCCCAAAGCAGGTGACAATTGGGGGTCGGGGGGAGGGGGGAGGTGAACATCTCCAGATGGGGGCTGATGGCGGAGGTGGATGGGAGGAAGGGAGCCGTGGTACCTCCACCCCTCACCCTAGTGTTTTCAGAATGAGGACTTACTTTCCTGTGAGATAGTGAGCTCTCCATGGCTGGAGGTGATCAAGCAATGGATGGCTAGAGCATGGCAGTGGGAGGTTGATTAGATGGCTCTAACTGAGGACCCTCTCAATGACCCAGACCCTGGGGCTGAGGGGCAGATGGGTGATTGACACCGGTCCCCTCTCTCCCTGTGTTGTGTCCATCTGCCTGTCTTGTTTTTCTCTCTGGTCTCTCTTCCATGTGACCTGTCTCTGTGGGAGTGGTCTCTGTGTGCATGCGTGCGTGCCCTTGCGTGTCTCTGCCTGTGTCCGTGTGCCCCACAGGAGGTGGCCCTCTCCCTGTGGCTGTCCTTCTCGGACCACACCCTGGCCCCCGCTGAGCTCTACGACCGCCGTGACCTGGGACTGTCCATCTCTGCAGAGGAGCCCGGCGCCATCCTGCCAGCTGAGGAGCGGGGTGCCCAGCTCGGGGTGGTGGTGAGTGGGGCAGGCACTGAGGGGCTGCCCTTGCATGTGGCCCTGCACCCGGCCGAGCCTTGCCGCCGGGGACGCCACCGAGTGCCCCTGGCCTCTGGCACTGCCTGGCTGGGACTGCCTCCTGCCCCCACCCCGGCCCCCGCCCTCCCATCCAGCCCTGCCTGGAGCCCACCGGCCACGGAGGCCAGCCTGGGTGGTGAACAGCAGGTGGTGGGCAGTGTGGGAGGCAGCAGGAGTGTGAGGGGTAAGTTTGAGCAGGCAGAGGAAGAGGCCAGGGAGAAGGATGCTGAGGCTGGGGAGAAAGAGGAGGAGGAGGAGATGGTGCCTGCCCCTCAACGGGTCACTGACCTAGAGCTGAGCATGTACGCCCTGCTGGGTGTCTTCTGTCTGGCCATCTTCATCTTCCTGGTCAACGGGGTGGTCTTCGTGCTGCGCTACCAACGTAAGGAGGCTCCCGACAGCGCCAACGACCCCGCCTCCCCCCAGCCCCACAACTGGGTCTGGCTGGGCACAGACCAGGAGGAACTGAGCCGCCAGCTGGACCGGCGGCCCCCTGGCCCAGCCAAGGGGGAGGGGGGCTGCCCCTGTGAGAGCGGGGGAGGAGGGGAGGCCCCAGCCCTGGCCCCCGGCCCTGCTGAGGGCACCCCCAGCTCCTGCAGCACCCTGGCCCGCAAGGAACCTGGGGGGCGGCGGAAGCGTGTGGAGTTTGTGACATTCTCACCAGCGCCCCCAGCCCAGCTGCCCGAGGAGCCCGTAGGGGCCCCTGCTGTGCAGTCCATCCTAGTGGCGGGAGAGGAGGACATTCGCTGGGTGTGTGAGGACATGGGGCTGAAGGACCCCGAGGAGCTTCGAAACTACATGGAAAGGATTCGCGGCAGCTCCTGACCCCTCCGCTAGCCTGTCGGGTCCGCCATCATCCAGCCACCAGCCGGGGTCCTACCGAGCTCCCTGCCTGCCACTCCTGCTCGGTGCTTGTTGATCCAAGTCCCCCGCCTGGTCCCCTCACAAGGACTCCCACCCAGGCCCCCTGTGCCCTCTGCCCCTTGTCCTAGACGATGGTCGTGAGGAAGGGCTCATGCCCCTTATTTATGGGAACCGTTTCACCCTTTGTTGGGTACAGAATAAAACGAGAAGGAAGTCAGCTGGGACTGCTGCTGTTCCCTGTGTCCCGTGGAGGGAGATGAGGGTGGGGATGTCTGGTGGAGGGAGACGCGTGGGGCAGGGCCTGTTCAGCCCCTGTCCCTGCTGGCATAGCTTCTGGGGGCTGAGGCCTGAGCTGCCCGCTCATAGCGGCCAGCAATCCAGAGGAAGAGGAAGAACGTGGCAGCCTGGATGCCGGCCAGCAGGAAGAAGTAGAAGTCCATGTGGCATTTGTTGATGTTCCCTGGGGAAAAGAGGGGTTGGTACTGGGTTTAAGGCAGGGCTCATTGGCCTTGCGCCTGCCCTCATCCTGGCCCCGTGGGAAGTGAGTGGGGTTTGAAGACACGGGGCAGGGACCCCTCTGGTGTCTGGCTGTCCCGAGTGTCTCTTATGTTACCTACAGCTCCCCTTTACCTAGTTCATTTGAAATTTTCTTTAAACACAAATACAGTCATGTGCCCTTCACACTCATATGTTCTGTGAAGTAGGATGTTATGTGATTTGGCTGTTGTGCAAACACTGTATCCTAGTCTGGTCCTGCTGCTTCTGTAAGCCTCAAACAAGCTTTGTGCCTTAGCAGTGATCCTTGGCATGCTGAGAGGGGTTCATTTTGTGTTTGGTCCTCAGTCCACATTGTTAGCAATTTCTCCACATCTGACACAGGTCCTTGGCATTTTCATTAGCCTTGCAGCGCTCAGTGGAGCCGATCCTTTAACAGCTTGGATGGTTTTTTCCTCGTTTCTGATGATTGTCCTGATTGTCAAGTGTGACATGCCTAAGTCGCAAGCAGTAGCGTTCCCTGATGTTCCACCTTCGTGTTGTTTCATCACCTTCTGTTTCACTTACAAACCGACCCTTCCCTTTGCTGCTGTTGTCACTAGCACTGGCCTCGCTGTATCTGGGAGCCATCACACATTTCACAGTAATATCTTTTAAAGAAAAGTCAAACATAATGCTGTAGTACTCTAGACGTGCAGTCCACGAGGTTGGATGCTGCTGCCTTTGAGTCAAAGCACACACTGTTACATGGTCAACTTTTTAGAAAAGATAGTATGGTACATGATAAGCCAGTAACAGTGCATGCAGACATGTAACAGTACATGCAGACATGTACTTTGGTTATATACGCACTGTACAGTATAGATGTTCATACTTCTGTAGGTACTTAGATGCTTGGCAGCACAATGGCTTTGTATGCAAGAGACATGAGATACGCGCATTGCATGTGGGAAGCTAGTGCATTCCCTACATCCTGTGATCCCATCAGGATTTGTAGACTCTTATATTGAGCTTCTTATCATGACTTAGATGAAAATTTACAGAGCAGATTAGTTTTCCATTCAACAGTTGATACACATTTTGTTTCATGACATTGATTGCAGTCCCCATGATGTGACAGCACTTTTCCCACTTCCTCCCTGAGTTCTTTGTTTCCATTTGTCCTCTCCTATTCCTTCCTGACTTCTGAATGAACTTTGGCTATAGAAATGCTGCCCTTTAGATCTCGTGTGGTTGGTTTTAAGCATAGTTGACTGTTGAAGGAGTTCATACTTCCTTGTCCCAGGTGTTATTGTTCACTTTATAAAGTGTCTGTCATTTGGCTCAAAGTTGAGCCCCAGGGGTGAGTTCAGTTCCAGGCTTGACAGATGACTAAGGGCCGCAGTCTCAGGAGTTCCACCAGTCTTTGTCTGACCAGTAAGCCTGCTATTTTTTTTTTTTTTTAATGATTCTGAGTTTTGCTCCACATTTTTCTCCCATTCTATCCAGGACCTGCTATTGTGATCCCTTGCAGAGTGGTGAGCAGTGGAAGCTGGGCACCATCTAGTTCTTCTGGTCTCAGGGTCTTGGATGATGGGGTTTGAATGATCCATTAATTCTTTGGACTAATTATTTCTATACATCTTTAATTTTCTTCACTCTTCTTTGCTCCCAACAGGGAGAGACCAATAGTTGCAGCTTAGATAGTTGTTCACATGCTTTGAAGACCCCAGTTGCTGCCCACCAAAGTAGGATGTAGAACATTGTCTTCGCAGACTGTGTTGTGCCAATTGATGTCTGAACTCTTATAACCTTAGGGGACCATGGACATGTATGTGGTTGGATATTGAATGGATGTAGGTGGTGCATGACTGTACTGCAGGGAAAGTGACCCTTCAGCCAGAATGGCAGAATTTCACAAGCAGGAACAAGCCTTAGAAGCCTATTGTTTTGACACTCCCTTTTTGGCAGTTGGGGAAACATGTCGCCAGAGGGGAAGCCATGCTGTGGGTGAGTGGCCAACTGTGGGCTTGAACTCTGTTCTCTGAGTCTACCCCCTGCTCATTCTGCCTGGGGTCAAAGCACTTTGCAGGGGCCACCTCCTCTTCAAGCCTTCCTCCACCCATTGTCCCAGTCCCACACTCACCGGAGTCCTCTGGGCAGTGCAGCCAACCCCCTGGCAGGGATAGTAGGGCTACAAGACCAGAGCCCAGCAGGGAGCCCACCCCAGACAGGCAGAAGAAGATCCCCATGACGGCACCCTTCATGGATCTCGGGGCCTCTGAGTAGGCGAACTCTAGGCCTGTGGAGAGGGAGGAGAGCCAACAGGCTGGTGGAGAAGCAGAAAGGCCCACCCCGCCACCCACGCCTCCATCCTAGCCATCCCATCCCATGACTGTGACAACAGCATGCACCAGTGACACCCTCACCTCTGGCCTGGGCTTCCCCATCCTGGCTGAACACCTCCACCTGGACTCTGGGCATGCTGCCCAAGAGCCTGCCTCCATCTCCTCTCCCTCCTCCAGGGTTCCCATTTCAGTGACCACCTCCTTTCAGGCCCTATCTTCACCCTCTCTCTCCCCTTCACCCTCTCTGCTCATGTTCAGTGTCATCCCCAAATCATTCTGATTCAGCCGCAGAAACCTCTTCCAAATACACACTCTCCTCTCTGTCCCCACTGCCCTGGCCAAACCCCAGCCCTGGGCCTTTCCTGCCAGACCCCTGCAAATCCTCTTCAACTCTCCTGTCTCCTGCCCTCCCCATCTCTGATGGGGCCCTTTTCTCTGCCAAAAAACCCTTGAGGGGTCCTACTGCTCTCAGGAGAAATCCCGACATCCAGGCTTGCTCCCCCCCAGTCCTGCATGACCTCCAGGCCCCTGTACCCCCCCCAGCCTTCTCCCCTACACTTCTCACCAGGCTTCCCTTCAGCCTTTGTATGCATAGGCACGCCTCTGGGTCTTTGCTGATGCTGTTGCCTCTGCCTGTAAGGCCCTTCCCCACCCGTGGAGTTCTGTCTCCTCCAAAGCCCAACTCCTACAGTTCTCTGGTCACTTCTACAGCACTCCACTAGGTTCCTGTTGGCATGACCGTTTCCCCCACCACGCTGAGTGCTCTGGGTCCATTTCATCTTTATGTCCCAGCAGAGTCTAGCCCTGTATGGCAGCTGAATGAGCGCCAGGTCCTTGCTGAATGCACAGCCTGTCCCAGCCTTGTAGCTCTAGCTCACAGCACAGCAGGGAGACAAGACATGGTTACAACACCGGGGCCTATGTGCAGAACTAGAGATGAACCGCGGGAGGTGAGGGAGCACCCTCCCCACAGGGCCGTGGAGAGGGCCTCATGCCGAAGACGGCGTTGAAGGGGAAATAGTTCACCTTCAATCTAAGGCAGAGAGAACAGCGGCTGTGAAGACGCACGGGGCAGGGAACATGGCACTGGAGGTCTATGGAAAGTTGGTGTGAAAGTGTCTTACTCTCCTCCAAACCTCCAGTGCCTATTGCAGTGCCTGGCACAAATTGGCTACTCCTGGATACCCGTGGATGAAAGCCGACCAGCTCGGAACACAGTGCCTTCCTCCCTGCAAACAAGCCTTGGAGGCTGTGCCCCTGAGCTCTCTGACTTCCAGTCACCACCAGGCAGAGCCCATCACTGGTGTGAGAGCAGGAAGGGGCTCCAGGGTACCTGAGATGCTGGCAAAAATCTCACTGATTCCGATGAGCAGGTACTGAGGGATCTGCCACCCGATGGACAGCGGTGCCGCGTAGTACATAACTTGCCCGATCTGCTGGGACACCGTCTCATTGCGGCGGATATACTTTAAACGCTCCAGCTCCAAGTAACCTGGGGGGTGGGGAGGGAGGTGCTAGAGCCCAGGCCACTCCAGCTGCTCAGCCCGCACCGGAGCGGGGCACATGGTGGCTGTTCGCTAAGGAGCCAGTGATCAATCAACTGGGCAGCAGGGAAGGAAGAGGATACTGGCCTGAGGAGGGGTCAAGATTTGAGTTCTGATTCTTCTCTTTTTGCCTTGGCTGCCAGGAGGCTCAGAACTAGGCTTTATGTGTCATAATAGTAACACTTCTCATTAATCAAGAGCCTATTATGTACTAGCCATCTAATACGCATTCTCCCAGATGAAGAAATAGAAACAGGTTGAGGAGCCAGCCAAGAGTCACCTGCAGGTAAGTGGTCAAGGCTGGGTTTGAGCCCCAGTGTGTCTGGTTAGCTCTCAGTGATGGAAAGGATTGCAGTTGTGTTTCTCACCAGGCTTTCAAGGGTGACTAGCTTGTCTTCATCCCCCTTGTTGCTTGGGAGGCAGATGTGCTCTAGTTGAATGAAGCTGGACATGGTATTAAGGAGCCCAGTGGTTAAGGAGCACAGTGGTTAAGTACTTGGCTGCCAACCAAAATGTTTGCAGTTTGAAACCACCAGCCGCCATGCAAAAGGATGCATCAGTCTGCTTCTGTAAAGATGGAAGCCTTGGAAACCATGTGGGGCAGTTCTCTTCTGCTGTACAGGGTGGCTGTGAGTCAGTTCTTTGGACCTAGAGCTAATGGACTTGGGTTCTAATCCTGGCTCTGCCACTAGCGAGCTGTGTGACCTTGAGCAAATCACTTAACCTCTCTGAGACCCAGGTCCCTTATCCAAAGAGCAGGACTAAATGTCCTAGAATTATTGTGAGAATGAAATAGAACAACAGGCATTAGAGCATTTCATAGCTGATAAAGAATCTAGATTGGTTTTTATCCTTTTAATGTAATACTGATAACAAAAAAACAAAACACACTGCCATTAAATGTGACTTAATGATTTGTCTGACTCACAGTGACCCTACAAAACAGAGCAGAACTGCCCCCATAGGTTTTTCAAGGCTGTAAATCTTTACAGAAGCAAGCTGTCTCATCTTTCTTTTGCTGAGTGACTGGTGGGTTCAAACCTCTGACCTTTTGGTTAGCAGCCCAATGCTTTAACCGCTATGCCTCCTTGCAATACTGATGGGAGCTTTAATTTTTCCAGTTCCTACTTGTGATTCAGGCACTTTGCTAGGTTCTTTATAGACTGCATTTTCTTTTATCTTCAACACACTGCTAGACCCTGTTCTAGGAGGGCAGAGCCTGGGCCCAGCACAGCTCCTGAAAGAATTACTGTCCCTATCTTCAAGATGAGGCTCAGGGACCCAGAGTAACTTCAGAAGCACACCGTCATTAAGTGTAAAGGACTCAGGATTGTACAACTACATAAAAGCCTGCTTTAGCGGAGCCCTGTTTCAGTTGCTGTCAAGTCAGTCCTGACCTGTGACGACCTCATGTACGAGCAGAACTGCTCCATAGACCCTTCAGAAGCACAGCACCAGGCCTGACTACCAAGGTGCCTGTGGTGGGTTTAACCACCAACCCTTCAGTTAGTGGTATAGCGCTTACCATTTGAGCCCCCCAGGGACCCTGAGCCCTTTACCATAAGTGGCTTGAAATCCTTTTGAAATGGGAGAAGAAAGACAATGAATAATACTTTAAAAAAGTAAAAGAAGTGCTCCATTTGCCACCAAGTGGCTGTGGCTTTGTGTCTTTGGAAAACTCATTCATTCAACACAGTTTTGAGCACCTGCAGGCATTATTCTAGGCTCTGGGGATACAACACTGAGTAAAAATGATCCAAAACCCTGCCTTCAGAGAGCTTACATCCCAGGGGGAAAGTCCTTTGGACCCTCTTGGCTTGAGTTTCTTCATTTCTTAAAACCTGGGGAGGCTGGTTTCTCTGAGGAGGGTCTCTGAGCTCTAGCTCTCTGGGAAGGTGGAGAATATGTTTGGCACAGGCCCACAGCTTCAACTGCAGCTCATGGTGGAGCTGGCCACCCCCCCACCCCCCCACAGACAGACTGAAGCCACC